GAGGGTGATGAGACATCGGGTGGCGAGGGTAATGAAGAAAGTAAGATATTTTATGAGTTACTTAAAGATGGAAACCAAGAATTGTATGAAGGGTTTGTTAAGTACACAAAGCTTTCATTCTTGTTGAAGTTGTACCACATCAAGTGTTTATGCGGAATAAGTAATAAAGCAATGTCCATGATTTTTGAACTATTAAAAGATGCATGTGAAAAGGCAAGATTGCCTGATTCATTTTATGAGGCTAAAAAAACTATAAACAAGCTCAGTTTCAATTATACTTGTATTCATGCATGTCCGAATGATTGCATGTTGTATTGGGGGGACGGTAAAGATGCGAAAATATGCAAGGTATGCAACACTTCAAGATGGAAGCAAGGAAAACAAAGAAGTGAAATTTTTTCAATTGATAAGCCAAAAAAGAAAAAGCCTGCTAAGATTCTTCGTTACTTTCCTCTTAAGCGTAGGCTGCAACGATTATTCATGTCTTCTAAAATAGCTGAATATATGAGATGGCATGCTGTGGATATTAATCAGGATGGGTTAATGAGACATCCTAGGGATTCTAGAGCATGGAGAAAATTTAACGAGAAACATGTAGAAGTTGCTGCCGATCCACGGAATGTTCGATTAGGGTTAGCTACAGATGGTTTCAACCCGTTTGGATATCAAAGTTCTACCCATAGCACTTGGCCAGTGATTTTAATTCCTTATAACTTGCCTCCTTGGATGTGCATGAAACAATCTTCCTTCATTTTGTCTATGATCATTCCTGGAAAAAAGTTGCCTGGGAATGACATAGATGTTTACTTGCAGCCTCTAGTTAAAGAGCTAAATGAGTTGTGGCGGGATGGGCTAGAAACATTTGATGCCTCACAAAATCAATTTTTTAGATTGCGGGCAGCATTATTGTGGACCATTAGCGATTTCCCTGGGCTGAGCAACCTATCAGGGTGGAATATACATACAGGTCTAGCATGCCCCTCTTGTAACTTTGACTTTTCATCATTTCGCCTTCCTTACGGAAAAAAGTGGTGTTTCATGAGTCATCGATGCTTCTTGGAGTCTACTCATCCATATAGGCGTAATCGTGCTAAGTTCGATGGTAATGAAGAATTGAGAAATCCTCCAAAATATGTATCAGGTTCTGATGTTTTAAGTTAGGTTGCAGATATTCATGTTACCTTTGGTAAAAATTTACAAATGAATAAGAAGGGGAAACGATCACGAGGGATACAAACGGAAGGTGGTGAAGTGCTTCAGTGGAAAAAGAAAAGTATTTTCTTCCAGCTCCCTTATTGGGAATTCAATTCGTTACGCCATAATCTTGATGTCATGCATATTGAAAAAAATGTTTCCGACAATATATTATATACTTTACTTAATGACCATTTGAGATCAAAAGATAATCTAAGCGCCCGAAAGGATTTAGAGGTATTGGGTATAAGAGAAGATCTTCGGCCTAATGAGCAAGGAAAATATCTTCCAGCCTGTTTTACAATGTCAAATGCACAGAAAGATATATTCCTTGCTACACTAAATAACGTAATACTTCCAGATGGTTTCTCCAGCAACATATCTAGATGTATCGATATACGAAATCGAAAAATTCATGGACTAAAAAGTCATAATTGTCATATCATCTTGGTACATTTGTTGCCAATTGTTGTCCGCAACTTGTTGCCGAATCAAATTTGTCATATTCTAGTTGAGCAGGGTAATTTCTTCAAACAACTGTGTTCTAAAGTTCTAAGCACTCAACAACTTGATAACCTTCAAAGTCGTATTATTCTGACACTCTGCCAAATGGAAATGGTGTTTCCACCATCATTTTTCACTGTCATGGTGCATTTGATTGTTCATCTGGTTGATGAGGTGAAGTTTAGAGGTCCAGTTCCATACCGATGGATGTGCAACATGGAGAGGTTAGTAAGCATAAGAAAATTATAATATTCCACATAACTCTTTACATATTCATTTGTTTAATTTTTATTGTTCAGATATTTGGGACATTTAGAGTCTCATGTACGAAACCGATCTCAACCAGAGGCTTGCATAGCTGAAGGGTATATTGCAGAGGAATGTCTTACCTTTTGTTCAAGGTATTTAGATGGAATCGAGACAAGATTTAATCGGCCTCCTCGTGTTAATGATGGACCAGTTCATTCTGAAACTCAAAATAGCATTTTCCAAAATTGGTCGACCGGTAGGTAGTGGTTCAGTTTTTCGGTTGGCTGATTTAGAGAAACAACAAGCACATAGATATGTCCTGATGAATTGTGGGCTTGTTGACAAATATATTAAGTGAGTAACTCTGTAAGAGATATATATTACACAATAATTATAAATTTACATTTTTATTAATCGTGACATTAATTAAATATTTCTGTCGCATAGGGAATTCGAAAATCTGACGAAGAGACGACTAAGAGGTCGTACAAGAGCATCAGCAGAAATTCAAAAAGTTGTTAATAGATATTTTGCTAGTTGGTTTTCGAGGAGAGTAAGTGTTACACCTTATAAAAATTGTTACATACAAATTTAAATTTTACTTATATTAGTTGTTGCATTTCAGATGACGAACATTGATCACTTGGAGGACGAAGTGCCTGATGATATTATGTTTTTAGCAAGAGGGCCACTTGATCATGCTAGAAGATATTCTTCTTATAACATTAATGGTTTAAGGTTTCGAACGATGAACCGAGAAAAAGGGTTAAAGACACAAAATAGTGGAGTATTTTTGTTTGCTGGAACTCCAAGTGTTGCAAGTAGTCGTGATGTCCGTGGGGTAGTTGGGGATGTTGCTTATTATGGAAAATTGATCGACATTGTTGAACTCAACTACTATGGGAGATTTTTTGTTACACTATTCAAGTGTATATGAGCTAACACAACTACTTCTAGAGGGATAAGAAAAGATTGTTTTGGATTAACTGAGGTCAACTTTTCCAACAGAATACACATAGGAGATAGTATTGACGACGAACCATATGTCTTACCTGTCCAAGCCCAAATGGTGTTTTATGTTACCAACGAGTTGGATAAAGACTGGAGTGTTGCAATACCTTGTAAACCAAGGGATTTTTTTGATATGGGGGGAAATGAATACAATTGTATGCATGAGATTGCGCCGCTTTCCATCGAAAAACAAGACATGATATTTTCAAATGACATTGAAAATTTGTGCTTAGCCAGGGATAGAATGGATAAGGAAACATCCCATGTAGTTGAGAATGTAGATGATGTGAATAATATGGATATAAATGGTTAAGTTGTGTTCATTCCACATTTATTCTCATTCATTTTTTACTTCTGTTAATATATCCTTACTACTTACCATTTTATTCTCATTCATTTATATGATAAATTGTTCGATTTATATGCTAACATTGCTTCTGATCCTTTTTTTTAGCATCGTGAATCACCACTAGCTGAATTCATTGTTGTGATCATTTAGGGCTACTAAAGACGAGTACAAATTTTGCTCCATATCAGGTGCAACTGATTTTAGTTTTGTCTGTTTATGATTAACTTGTTTTATCAGAAATTATGATTAGCTTGTTTTATCAGATTTTATGACTAACTTGTTTGATCTGCAATAATGTAGTTCCTTCTATCTTTTTTATTTTTTTTTTTGGCCCTTTCCATGTTTTTTCCGTTCATTAGGTACAGTTGTAAGAGTGCATTGTACAAATAACTAGAGAAGAGGCATATATTACATACATTTGCTTCAGCAACTGATTAACATTTCCTAAGAGGCAAAGACTGATAATTTGGGATTAACATTTCGGAGATCACCCAGGGGAAGGGTCGGTCGTGCTGGCCACCCATAATCTCGAGTCGGGTAAGGAATCTTTTGGTGTCGATTTTTAATTTACTTTTTCTTTATTTGGATATTTTCTCTGTTGGATATGTGATGCCACCATGTTGGTCTTTAGTATTTGGTTCAATTGGGAGGCTATACCCTAAGATTGGCATAATTGCAAAAGATTCACAATTATCTTTCAAATTTACGGATACGGATAAGCTCCCCTTTAATTTGTTCTGTTTTCGCCAATATGTTTGTTGTGTTCTAATGATTGTGAGAATGTTGGCTAATGCAGTTCAGAGAAAGTGCCGCTGTTGTGCTTTAGAGAATTGCTTGTGGTTGATCCGTAACGGGCGTAAAACCAACCCAAATTATTATTTTCAGGTGATCTAGCTTCCCCATTCAAAAGAAACGGATTATATGTATCATTTATAAGATAAAGAATTAGGTAAATATGAACTTTTAATACTTGTCGTACGTGGTTCGGAATTGCGATCAATTTTCTAAGATTAGAGTCTGATCCTCCTAAAAAAAATTATCATTACCCCCATCAGACGCAATTATATATACGTCTTTGAGTTTATCCAATATACATATTCCATGTTCCATTGTTTGTTGCAGACATGCCAAGGTCTAAAAGGAATTTGAATAAGAGAATGTTATGATCGAAGCAATCACAGGCATCTTCCAACACTCATACTAGAGACCAAATATTTCGGAATGAAGTGCCACTGCCTGATGAAAGTGTACATAATGAGCAACAAGTTAATGATTCTGTGAGGAAACATCCAGTGGCAACTATGAAAATTCAATTCAGGAACAATCTTCATCAATTAGGAAAAAGGGAAGAATTGCATGGGAAGTTGAAGTGATAAGTATAAATTCTTATATTTTATTAAATTCCTTTGATAAAAGTACATTTGAAATAATTAATATTTGTTAAATTTCTTCAGATGAAGAAGGAGTTGTGAAGAAGAAAAAGATGAAAACAATTGATGTATGGAGTCTTCCTTCAGGTGAACGAGTCATGGTTCCATTTGATAGTATGCAAGCACCCACCTTGGATGCAGCTGGATTGTTGTCTGGTGTACTAGCAGAACTAGCAAGGCAGGCTTCTTCATTTCCGATCAACTATGATGACTAGAGAAAAGTGTCAGGCCAATATAAAAATGATATATTCAACAAATCAATCATGGTAAATATAGAATTAATTATTTGAAATATATTCCTAAAAAAGTTTAGTTCCAACATGCGTAATCATGCTTCCTGTCTTATCATGAAGCCAAAATTTCACTTTGAAAATGTCGAGATAGCAAAACGGTGGATTCTTAGCAATATCGGGAGAAAGTGGAGCAATCACAAGTCCACATTATGGGTAGAATTTTATGACCCTTCTTTAACAAGGTTGGAGTTGGTTCATTTCAGCTTTTTTTTAGCATTGGAAAAAGGCAGTCTAAATCTCTAAGAACTAAGAAATTTTACTTGTTTATCTTTGATTGACCAGGGAACAATTAATAAGCAATTGTCCCGCTGGAATCCATCGAGATCAATGGTCAACTTTTGTTATTAATCGTTTATCTGAAAAGTCAAAGGTAATGCATTTAAATGTAATTTTTATGTACGTTGCTTCATATAATATTTTTTTTTTGGTATTAATAGGAGACGTGTCGGAGAAATGCTGAAAGTAGGAAGTGTCAAAAAATTCCACACACTAATGGATCTAAAAGTTTCGCTAGGAGGAAAGCTGAAATGGTAATGTGGTTATTTTCTTTTGGTTGATCATTTAATGTCTATTCTCTTGTAAACGCAATGTACTAACACATAATGTAATAACCATTACAGGAAAATGAACTCGGGCGTAAGGTTAATCGCTCAGAATTATGGCTTGATACACACAAAAGAAAAGACGGGACATATGTTAATGATGAAGCTAAAAGTAAATCAGTGAGTTAATAAATTCTTCTCTTCTTCTCTCTAATAATTAAGACAAGGTTAATACTCAGTATTTTCTAGGAAGCACTTCTTTGAAACTGAAACTGGGGACTTTTACATTCATTTCATTCATTTCCATTATGGTGTTGGCTTGTCATTGTTCACTTGATCTGAAACTGAAACTGGGGATCTTTACTTTCAATAAAACTTTAGCTTTTAGGATATAAAAAGATCCATGTTACACCAAGCTTTTAGGAGCATTGTGAATTTTGTGGTTTTAAGTTTATAACAAATAATGATATTTTCTTGTTGTCATTCGTAGGATGAAATTATACGGGAAATGAGTCGAAGTTCATATTCTTCCCAGTCTCAGTTTGCTTTACCTGATGACCCTCTTGGTAGGGTTTTTGGAAAAGAGCACGCAGGTCGTGTTCGTGGGGCAGGTTTTGGACCATGTCCAACTATTGCATTCGGATGTCGATTTGGGTCATCGTATAATGATGGTCAAATGAGAGAGTATGTTGCTAGTATGGAAAAAGAGTTGGCTGCTACGAAATCAATATTGCGAGCTCAAAGTCTTCAGTTGGACGCAAAAAATGTACAAATGGAAGATATAAAAAAGAATCTAGGTGGGGCTCTTACTACAATTTTCGAGAATGCACTTGGGAAAATACCTGAACAATTTGCTAGTTGGTTAAACCAAACGTCAAATTTTGTGAGTAATTCTAACTAAAGTTTATATGTTTATTATTTGTGTTTTTTTATAAATAAGTTGTAAAAATCTTTAGAGTTGCATAACTAAAATCTACATTTATATTTTAAATGCAGGGACCTTCGGATGAAAGAAGCACTCATCCACCTTCATCGGAGAATGAAAGAAGAGATTCATCCTCTAGTCGTGATGTAACTTAGGGTTCTTACTTGTCACCTTTTGGACTCTATTTGGGGCTTTTGTTTTGGACGAATGTACTTTTGTTTGTGAATTTTGGTAACTATGGTGATCAACTTCTCAAATTGGATAAATTTGTGTTGGCTTTTCATGTAGATTGTGCTAATGTTGGATGATATTATTGGTTAAGTAAATCGTGATATTTTGTTGGTCAAGTAAGTTATAATAATCTTATATCTATAATAAATTCATAAATTGGATGATGGAAAAACTGTATTTATATTTTAGTTGGGGATAAATGTTAGTGGCGGTTTTAAAAAATGCCACGAAAAAACATAAATTGATTGTGACGGTTAAAAACTGTAGCTACATTTACAGTTAGATGCGGTTAGGAACTGCTGCTAAATAATGATGCAAAAATGAAGTAATTGTGGTGTGAATATATACCTTCACTTTTTCCAGCGGTTTTATGAAACTGCTACTAAATTACTTGCGACATTTGTATAGGCGGCAGTTTAAGAAATGCTGGTAAATGTGTTGGTTGCGGTTAAAAACCGCCGCTAAATTTAAAATAAAGTGTCGCTAGAATTAATAATTTTTGCAGTGACTCTAGTCTTATGTTATAATATTTTTCTAACTCAGATAATTCACGATCTTAATAGGTAATAAATAAATTTATTATTTCCCAATTGAGATTATTAATTATATATTTATAATGGTGAATATGATAATAAATATATATACATGCAATGTAAATGTTTAATCAAATGTAGTCATGACAAAATAATAGATCACATATTAAATTGGGATAGTAAATAACAATATAAATTAATTAAGAATGAAAATGTCAAAGCTATAAAAACCTAACTGAACTTATATTCATAGGCATTTCCTTTCAAGAGGGTACACTTCTGGATCGTGCGGCCATTAATCACTGCTTAATGACTATTAATAGCTTCTTATGGGACATTACTAGCGATATTACCAAAGAAAATGCTAGCTTTTGAGGGTCATTAATTGTATTATACGAACAATTCGCAACCAATAATATTATTTTAAAATCGGTATAACATCAAACATGTATCGTGTAGAAATATGAGGTTCAAAAATTATATATTGGGTCATCATCCCACATACAACTCATCCCTTAGAATTGTGAAATTAAACAAGCTGCTCGTGAGTTCGGTTCGGTTCGACTCATTAAGGCTCGAGCTTGACTCGTTTGATAAACAAGCCAAGCACGACTTAATTTAAAGTTGCTTTAGTTAACGAGCCAAACTTGACTCGGCTCGTAAGACTCACTGAAGCTCGAAAAGGTGATTTATATGTATTTTTCTAAAATTGGGCTCGTTAATATTGATAACCAAGCCGAACTTTGAGCTCGGCTAAAGGGCTCAAGCTCGACTTGGCACGTTTACGCCCTTACCTGTCACATTTCTTAGTTTCATATCATACTTCAACAATTTTTAATAATTTTCAAGAAACATATCATTTCATAATGATGAATAGTAACTAAATGAAAATATAATATATACAAATCGTGCAAAATGTCCTTATTTATGTTCGATTTTGACCATGAATTGAACTTCAACATAAGGTAACCCGTGGCACTTAACCTAAAAAAACCAAAAATCTCACAAGTAACTGAATTGCACCGCTACTTAGAAATAATCCGATTGAAACCAAATTATAGATTCTACATCAAAATAATCAAAAGAAATCGTACCAAAATGCACGATCCAACTTTGTTTTTGAATTTTATCTCGATTTTTCATACAATTATATTTAATTAAATGCAAAACCACCTGGAACCAAACATAAACAAAAACCGAACTTATGACATATAA